CGGATAGGTAGCTCCACGTACGCGTGCACTACGTCCAACTCGCAACAACCTACAGCACACAGAATTTTCTTAAAAAAATCCTACAGCGCACGGAACGTTAAGAAGCGCACGGTGTATCGATCGACGTACGTGTCGTCACGTAAGAACTCTCTCTATATATTTGGGTTAGGAAATACATACACGACTACAGCCGTGCAGAGGGATGCTTCCGTGATTTTAAAAATCGATCGAGGACAACCGTCGAGAACAATGCAAGTTGCGCTTGTGCAATTACCAAATGTTCATTGCGTTGTGCGTTGGTTTGCTAGCTAGATGTACGAACGCGTCGTGCATCGTGTGTGTGTACATATATATTACACCAGATACATGCTTCATGCATCATGCCGCGTGTATATCATAGTATCTTTTTTGACCAGCGCAGCAGGAACGTATGCAACTGGAGTTTTTCAGATAATGCTTGGAATACTTCGTGAACGCAAGTGGTCAAGATTGCTGTAGTATACTGCTAGCTCTAGCATGCATGGTGTATTTATTTCACACGGAATAGGACAGCAAGGCCACTCTACAGCTATCCGAGCTCGGCGCCAGCATCTACGGCGTCAAGCTTGGCACCAAGATCTATGGCGCCGAGCTGCTTGTCAAGTCATCGTTACGTCTGCGTCGAGCTCAAGACCTCGGCGTCAGCAACGATGGCGCCGAGCAGTGTAAGCTCGGCACCGAGCTAAAAGTCCAGATTTTAAAATCTTATCTTCAGGGACATATTTGTGAAAAATTTAGAAAAAAAGGCTAAAAAAAATAAAAAATTCGGCCGATCCCGGCTCGGCCAGCTGCGTACGGCCGGTACGACGTGGCCAGCGCCATGCCTTCCGGCCAGGTGGTGAGCACACGTGAAGATAGCAGGCCATGCACATGTGAAGGCAGCAGGCCATGCCTTCCAACCAGGGATCAATAAACACCGGCGGAGGCAAGCACTGGGCGGCGGCGTTGATGTGCAGGGCGGCGGCGATGGAGGTAGGTACATACCAGTGGCGGCCGGAACAAAGGGCGGATGAGGAACACATCACACCAACAATATATCTCGCGGCAAAAACAAACTCTCACACGAGAAGTACCGTGAAAATAGGTCAACGGGGAGAGTTCATTGGAAATCTACGAGCGGAGGAGGATATTTGAAAAGTTTTTATTTTTAAGGAGCTTTTTAATACTGTTGGAGAAGACTTTTTTTCTTTTTGCTAAAAAAAATGAAGATAGGGATTGTTTTATCAAATTCCTGGAGATGCTCTAATAAAACATGGCCATTTTCCGATTAAACATGAACTCAATAGCACAAAAATGAGCCGAGACTTATCCGAAAGATAAGAAAACTCAGTTCGAAGAGAAGTTGGCACCAAACATTTGTATGCATGGCAGCCGGTCGACGGACGCATGCGGCCGCACACGCACGCGTGTACGCTGCTCCATCCTCACCACTTATCAGCTCAGCTCCCGTGGCGATGACCGACAGTGTCGTCGTGATCTGGTGGAGAACAAGCCACTTGCCGCGTGTGGCGTGCCACCACCCTGATTGAAATCGAGCGAGCAGAGCAGAGGCGTCTCGCAGCCTCGCTGACTGGATCGGAGCCGATCCTTCCAGATTCAAAACCCCTGGACTGGACCTGGTCGCTAATCTGCAGTGCTGCTCCTGCAGATGAATCGAAACGCGCAACATCTCCTCTGTGTGTTGTTGAACTGTTGATAACGACGCGGGCAGTGATATTTTAGAATTCAATCTCGTGCAATCAGGGTCGTCTCGCTTTCGGGCTCTTCTTTCTCTGACGGACGAGATCTTGGGTGGTTTTGGCCCCTCTGATTGCAAAAGGGCAGCTTTGCTGTTGAAAGAAAGTGCAGTTGATGAGTTATCCTGGCAGACATGCCGATCGACGTGGATACCTTGGTCCTATCCAGGAATTTCCATTACTGTGATTTTTGTTATGCGTTAAACTATGAAACGACAGTGTTGTGATGCTACATGCCCATCGACAGTAGGTACTATAATATTTTTTGTCAGACTCAAAATCTGTTAACTTATAATCCGTACTAAGACCATGTTCGCATGTCTTATAATCCATATTTTTTAGCTCGTTTTTTTAACCGGAACAGTTTTTTTTTTCACAACAAATCAGCCGGAACAATGTTTCGACCTGATTTTTTCAGCTTTTAAAAGCGTTTATTTATAGAAGTAGTTTTTGTGCCCGCGCTTTTGAGTTTTGGGTGATTGTGCAATTATGTCTACGTAAATGCTCTGATGAGTGCATCCGTTGCGTGTCCATCCGGACGACCTGTTTCCTGTGCAGCGATTGGGCGCAATAGGCAACAGGTTTGTGGTCTCCCCAACTCATATATCTCCTGTGAATATTTCCCCACTTCCGACCGCAGCAACCGCTTTCACCGCGCCGTCCGCCCGTAGCGGCTGCGTCCACCGTGCAATCTGCACGCCGTGCTCGTGATGCACCGTCCACCATCCCACACTGCCTTGTCATCGCGACCATGCTCCGTGTGGCCCATCTCGCGCTGTGCCCCGTCCCAATCTTGCACCGCACTGCGCCCCATCCCGCACAACGCGGGGTGTCCCCTGCCGCGCCCCATCCACCTCGACTGTCGTAGCCACGGTGTGCACTGCGCCACCACTACCCCAGCGCTACCAGGAGAAGGTCACCAATCATTGCTCTCGATGTCTCCGTGACCCGAGTTTGTTGGTTACCGCAGTCCCACACCAGGTAAACCGTGGTCGCCGGCGACGTTATGTTTCAAGTGTTTTAGGCGTTTATCTGAATGTTGCAAAAGTAGACCTGCAATGTTGCATATGTTGCCATGACAATATATGCATGTTACAAGCCTATGTTTTAAGTTTTTGAGACGTATATTGCAAGTGTTTCATCTGGATGTTGCATATGTTGCTATGTCTATATACGCATGTTTCAAACGTATGTTTCAAGTGTTTTAGATGTTTCAGACTTATGTTACAAGTGGTTCATCTGGATGTTGCAAAAGTAGATCTCGATGTTGCATATGTTGCTATATCTATACACGCATGTTTCAAGTATATATTTCAAGTGTTTCGTCTATTTCAGTCGTATGCTGCAAGTGTTTTATCTAGATGTTTCGAAAGTAACTCTGGAAAAGCACATGTTGCAATGGCGTCGGTAACCGGCAGACATCATCCTGCCCTGCTGCTGCTATGGACGCCGCTGTGGAACCTAGGGATAGGCACGGGATGGATGCAGGGGCGCGGTGTGGCATCTGCATGCGGGACACTGACGCTGGATGAGATGTGGTGTGAGATAACGCGTGGGAGCTATATCCAGACACACGTCCAGACGTCCGGATGCTGCTTCCGGTATGTCTATGGCCATCTGCATCTCTACCGTGTTATGTTTGTTTGTTTGTTTGTTTTGTTGCTTTTTCGCTAAGCCCGGAGCGAGTTTATGATACAGTGCAATGTTTTTGTTTCAAAATGTGGGGTATAGTTGGCCGTTTGGCCCACGTAGTGGCGGAGATGGGGGGCAAGACCTCTCCTGTACAGAATTTAACTAAGGCCGCGTTTAGTTCCCTCCGATTCCAGAATTCGACACTATGCAAAAAGAAGATTCTCTGTCACATCAAATTTGCGGTACATGCATGGAGTACTAAATGTTGACGAAATCAAAAACTAATTGCACAGTTTGGTTGTACTTTGCAAGACGAACGTTTTGAGCCTAATTAGTCAACAATTGGACAATTATTATCAAATAAAAACAAAACGACACTGTGCCGCTACAGTGTTCCTGCCGGCGCCAATTCGGCGGAACTAAACGAGGCCTAAAATTTTCACAAAGTCTGCACCGCTGGCTCTCCTTCTAAAAGGGGGAAAACGCTTTTCTAGCTTTGTCTCTAGGCCCACGTCATACTAGAACAGTAAGAGCGAAGATTTATTAAGGAGTGAAATGCTCTGATACTGCCAGCCAGAGGCTAAATCATTGTTTGTAAATGTTGTTCTTGAAGAGTACATAGTGGACATCTAACCTACACTATGTTCGCTTGCCTTATAAACCGTACTTTTTAGTCAATGAACAGTATTTTTCTCTCTCACCAAATTAGCCAACAATACTTTCAGTCATGGCTTATCAGCCAAGCAAACAGGGCACTACATGGCGACAACGACCTATGATAAAGGCAATTTAAACTACTTGTATGGAGTAGGATTGCATACCAACTTATCTGCAATGGATTTTTCATGATATAATTATTTCTTTATAGGATTATCCATGATACTAGTATTATTTTGCCAGCGCACTTCGGGCACTGTGCATACGAACCACCTTATGAAGCGAGATACCAGAGCCAGAACGACACACCAAATCCAGGCGACGCCAAAGGCCAAACCGACTGTGCGGTCACACCTTGGTCCCCCGACTCCCGCCCGGATCTCCATCGCCGTCGCCGCGCACCTCGCTGGCCGCTGCTACTCATCTTAGCCAAAACAATACTACCCGGCTGCCGCGGACGACGTGGCCATGATTTCCCAAAGCAACAATATCCACTTGAGCCACTTCCCTTGTCCAGAAGCAGAACCATCCACTGATCCACCTCCACCTGAAAAGCGCGCTATTTTTATACGGCCACCACCAGGTCAGGGTCAGCAAGGCATCCGCCGCCTAGTTCTCCCCTCCGTCGCAACCTCAGGATCCCTCTCCAAGTCTCACCTCCACGTAAGACCTCCACGGCTCCACCCCCTCTTCCTCTTGAGTCGCCTTCCTCTTGTTCTCCACCACGCGTGTGGCTATCTGAGAGAGCACCCCATGCATGCTGACTCCAGCAAGTCGGTTGAATTGAAGAAGAACCAGCCGACTGGCGGTTACCCAACTGTCGCTAACCGGATAGAGAAGAAAGGCCTCTCCACTCTCCAGGCATTGGAGGCGTAATCCGAGGAAGGTGCCCAACTCCACCCACGCATTGCGCGCGCCGAAAATTTTGCAATTTGGATGGGGGTGGGGGCGTCGAGCGTGGTGGCGCCGGAGGGGTACGGCCAGACGTCGCTGGGCGACATGCCGGAGAGCTGCGTCGCGGCGGTGCTGCTCTACCTCGACCCGGCTGAGATCTGCCAGGTGGCCTGCCTCAACCTGGCGTTCCGGGGCGCGGCCTCCGCCGACTGCATCTGGGCCGCCAAGTTGCCCGCCAACTACAGGTACCTCGCCGCGCTCGCGGCCGCGGCCGACGACGACGACTGCGGTTGCGATGACGCGGCCGAAGGCAGTGATGGCAGGTGCTGCTCCTCTGCGGCGATCAAGAAGGAGATATACGCGCGCCTCTGCCGGCCCACCCCGTTCGACGGCGGCACCAAGGTAACTTTTTTTTCTTTCTTTATAGTCGTTTCCAACAATCAGAATGCTTTTGCTTTTGGTAGAGGATGATTTTAGTGGTGGCTGGGAAAAAATAAGAAGTTGAGTCAGTAGAACCTATTTGTCTTTTCGCGTTTGCTGCCTTAATAATGTTTGTGTTTGTTCTGGGACTTCTGTTCTATCTTTTGTCTGCGATGGTCTAACTAAAAGCAGTTATTTGAGTAGGAATTTTGGATCGAGAAGAACAAGGGAGGTTTCTGCATGTCCATCTCCTCAAAGGCTATGTCGATCACAGGGAGAGAGGATCGGAGGTATTGGAGCCACCTATCCACAGAGGAATCAAGGTACTTCGTTTTTGTTTTCTCATTTTCCTACAGTAAACGTACTCATTAGGAGGTTAAGATCACATTCCATGAACCTGTCAGCGTATTGAGAGAATGAAATCATGGAATACTTTTATCATGCCATGGTTTTATTTGATCTGCTATATTTTGTTACATTGGAAGCTCTTTGTTAATTGCTTGACTTTTGTTATGTTCCTCAATAAGACAATAATCTGATCTTATACTCCTTGTTTTCCGGTGAGCATTTAATGTATTTCTTTTGTTAATGAACTGGTTGAAGATTTCTTTTCCGGGTACATATGTCTTTCTTTCACATACCTACCCAAGAAAGGCATGTGATATATTTTTGTGATGATTGATGGTGTGTTTTCCCAATAGGATGCATGGGGTGTTCAGACAGATTTAGATGTCCTCAGTGGCTCAGTGCTGGACAACTTATCCAAATTGTCAGCAGAAATTGACAAATGAGCAAGCTAGTAAAGTACTTTGAGTGTGATTGATATCAGTAGGACCATGATTTATTTTTTTAGGCCCTGTTAAATGTTACCGAGCCTTTATGCTCCTATGTTATCTTTTGTGCCATTATACATATATAAAATCTTGAAGCCAATCAGCGTGCTGCATACAACCAAAGTCACTTCAGTGTCATCGGAAAGCCTATATGTGTACTGTTAACTTCAGTCTGATGGCTACTTATGCAAATTGAACATCTATAATATTTGTTCTGATGTGATTTGGTTTATTGTATTTACATGACCTGCCCGTTGAGTACATTTTGGTCCTTGTCCTGTTCTTGCATGTCATCAGTAAGCAACCCCACCACGTTGCCAGTTGGTATCATCTACCTCAGACACCTGAATGATAGCTTTATGGGGTTTCTGTTACTGCAACTCAGAGCATGTGTAGATCCAGTTTATTTGGATTTAAATGTTCAGGACTTGGTTTGGAGTTAAACTGAATGCCAAAACGTACCAAACCAGGCCTCATCCGAGCACCTCATATTGTGAGCTATTTGTTGTACTTGTGCAATAACCCTGATAGTTTTGCTTTCGCATTCAGCTCTCTCAGACATTTTTACAAAAGGAAATTCACCTCACATGTTGTGGACTTGTGTTGTAGCTTGGTCCATCCGTAGCGACAGTTTGAGCTCTATCTTATTTTCATGTTCACCAATTGCTGAACTCACCGCATTACAGATAACTAAAGTGCCATGGTTTTTATTGCAGATTTCACAGTGTTGCCTATCTTCAGCAGATTTGGTGGCTTGAGGTAGGTGGGGAGATTGATTTCTGCTTTCCTGCTGGTTCATACAGCCTATTCTTCCGGCTCCATTTGGGCCGACCGCACAAGCGTATGGGCCGCCGAGGCCATGGCTCTGAGAATATCCACGGTTGGGACATCAAACCGACACGGTTCCAGCTCTCAACTTCAGATGATCAGCACACTGCATCAGAGTCTTACCTAATTAACCCTGGAAGATGGATCCTTTACCACGTCGGTGATTTCATCATATCGAGTTCAGATGAGGTGACGGAACTCAAGTTCTCTATGATGCAGATTGATTGTACGCATACAAAAGGCGGCCTGTGTGTTGACTCGGTCTGTATATACCCCAAAGATCAGGGATATGAGGAGGACTGCGTATTCTGCCAGAAAATTTTGTAGGGGGTGCTTGAATTCCTTGGCTAGCCTATTTCTTCTTCTTTTCGGGCCATTCTTGTCCAAAAGGGTAGCGTGCATATTCTTTTTCTGAGAGTTTTGCATGAACAATTTATTTATTTTTGTGAGGGATTATTCTGTATTTACTTTTTGTAGTGTTAGTCAAATAAGTGGGGAGGTCAGGAAGTAGATGTAGGTATAGCGATGTATGATTGGAGCGCTTGACACGCGTGTGTAGAAACAGATGCTTCATTACATGTACAGAGATCTTGTGTTTATACATTATTGGAGACATATGCTTCCAGAAAGTTTCACTTAATTTTGCCTTCGCAAGTATTTGAGGGTGAAGTTTTCTGCCGATCAGCATGTGGTATTTCCAGCTCCTATATCGCTGAACTACGGGCTTTTATCATTTATCAGTGCACGCCGCATGACTGCAGCTTTCCGGTATTGCTGACCCCCTTCAAGAGCAAGTGTTCGTTAGAACTGCTGCTGGGTTCGATGTTTGGTCTGACCAATCCTGTTCGAGTCTCAGGCTTGGAAAATTCAGGTGCCACCCCAGCGTCAAGCAGACAAGCGCTGAAGCACCCATGGATAGCGAGCGTGCGCCGATGCACGACAGCAGGTAAACGCATCGACCCCGGCCTGGCCGGCGCACCGATTTCGCGCATGCGAGCGCCGAGCAGGCGGAGCGGAGCCCATGGGCGCTGCCGCTGCGGTCGATCGGCGGGCCGGTGCCTGTGCGGCGTGCACCCTCCGCTTAGCAGCCGGTCCCCTCGGCGCCCGCCAATCTTCGTCGGCGGCGAGTAACGCGCCGACAACCCCTCCGCTGCTCTGCATGTGCGATGCGGGCTGCAAGAGGAGATTTTTTTTTTTTACGTGGGCCGTCTTTTCCCCATCAGTGCAATGAGAACCTAACGTGGAGATAGGAAAAACAAATTTACCTGGGCTAACAAATTTACGTGGGCTGTTTTTTCTTACCATGCATGAATGAAACTTCAAAAGCCGTAGTTATAAAACCGAAATGCAAATTAAATTTTGATTGTATTATTGTGTTCTTACAATATTTTTTTTCAAAAAAAGATCTCACTCAGTATATTTAGATAATATTATGTTTAAAACAATTTTCTTATGAAGATATAATATTTTCTTTTTATGATGCAGGGATAATGTTCTAGTTTAGGAAAACATGTTTCACCTACAAGAAAAATGTTCTAGATTCAAGAGAAAAATATTATGCATTTAGGAGAATTAATTCCAATATACAATGTGTATGTAGTTAGCCTAGAATCATAGTTCTTTTCAATTTCTTTGTGAGGTTGTCATCATTTTCTTAAAAAAAAGGGAGATTGAAAGCCTCTTTTAAGTTTTGATAATTAATGACAACATATGTGCACTAATAACTTCATATGAGACATGAAAGGTTAAGTGCTAGTCTACAAGGGAGAGTGAACTACATGAAGGCCATGAAATGGCATGAACCATGTAATGCAAAAGCTCGACAAGGTGAAAATAAAAAGATGAAGGAAGGAAGACAAAGTGAAGGCAAAGGTATATGCATAGTTTTCTCTTTCATTGGCCACGAGGTGTTTAATGGAGTGAGGTGGCTGGATTGATAGGGTAGATAGTTGTACTATTAAGAGGGGGCAAAACATGTTTGCATACAATTTAGTGCCACTTGTGAGATCAATATATGCATTGCATATAGATTCAAGTGGTGTTTTAAAAATTATATGACAAACTTTTGAAAATGTTTGAAAATCATATGACAAACCTTTGAAAATGTTTGAAAAAAATGCTAACTAAGGCTTAAAGATGTTAGATCATCTTGTGAGAGATCATATGGAGTTAGTATGTTAGAAAAAACTTGACAAACGAGTTGAATGCACTATTTTTAGGGTCACGGAGCTTCGGAACATTGACCTAGTCAAGTTGTTTTCAAGCGCTTAAACCTAACCTTACGGTGTGCACCAGAGCTTTAGAACGGTGCATGTGCATGTCGACACCAATTCAAAAACTCACCGGAACTCTCCGGTGTGACACTGGAGAGGCGCATTGGAGAGTGACTCCAGGGAGAGTGTTTTTTTTTTGGTGCAATTTGAGAGCTAACACGCACCTGAGCTCTCCCGGTGGTGGTGTACCAGGATTATAACAGCTCTTTCATCGAGCATAATACAAGTTGATGTTGTAGGAGCTTTCCGGTGCTCACCGAAGTTATCCGGTGCTTCACTTTTTTTAGTGAAAGGATATAATGACTAGTTTTGTGTGGGAGCTTATAAATAGGTGTTGGCCGGGGCTTAGCCGCTCTCTTGCAAAACCGACCCATAGGTCTTGAGAACCGACTAAGCTAGTTTTTCTAGTCTTGCTGCAATTCTCAAGCTATCCTAGCAATCCTCGTCTGATGCAAGCGCACAGTAGCCCTCTGGTTTTGAGGACCGGATTTGTGTCAGCACCTTGCTTATTGCAGTTTGTTATCTGGATGAAATGGCCTGTTGTTACGATACTGATAGTATATGATTTAGGTGATGGATCTTGTTTTCTAGTAATTGTGCTCGTGACTGTCACGCAAATATACTCAGATGGATACAATCTGTCAAAAGTTCAGGTAGAGTATTTTCAAGCCTTCAGGTAGTATATTAATGCCGCCTCTCTCTAAATTTGGCCTGCACCACTGGTTCTTAGCTACTTCAGTATTGGCATGCAGGCAATTACTGGTTCATCTTTATAGCCTTATCTATTGTCGGCATCCTACAAATTTTATACACATGGTACAGAATGCATACGCATAGTATACTCAAAACAGTCATTTTTCAATTCCGTTATATTTCGTGAGCTTCAGGCAGCAATGATTCACCAAACCCATGACCCATCACATCTCAGAGGCACTACCTCTGCGATTCAGAAACTAGGACAAAATCCTTGTGCTATGCATCACAACACAAAGTTAATGAGATTCACGTGGTAAATGACTAACTGTATAATTCATGCCTGCGCACGGGATTTACGTGGTGGCGCCAGCCAGCTCGTGCCTTTGGGAAACCGGAACTCGCCGAGATTTCCATCCAGGTCATGGAAACGTGGCAATCCAACCCAACTACCCAAGCCTGTGTTTTCCAGCTGATAACGTAAGATTTTGTCCGCAAGCTTTCATGGTCACTAGACCATATGTATTTCGTCAAGAGCAGCCTCGTTTTTGTAATCCATCTACTCGCACATAGGAAATCAGCTGATGGTAATGCGTCCATCATACATGCTGGCTGTCTGCTTGAGTTGTTACCCACTGGAACTCAGGTCTGGTCCGTGTTTTGACTGAACTGGTATGCAGTGTGAGTGCATTTTTGGTGTCGAATCGCGATGATTGCTTTGCTTCTTTACTGAGATCACCCGAACACCATGATGATGAGCCCTGCCCTGGCACAGGGCACAGCACAGGGCAGAGAGCCAGGGAGAGTGGATTTGTGGATGGATGGGTACCAAGACCTGCGGACGCCCCGACGCCGATGCGATGTGCCTCCCTGTCGTCTCTGCCCTGGCCTTACGGACGGGTGGTGGCTGCTCGCTCGTGCTTTGCCCTGCTGCAACGCATGCCTGCGTCTGTCTATTGGTGGTCCAGTCCAATCCTGGCTTGTTGCAGGGCAGGTTGCATTGCTTGCTTCGTGCATGGCCTTGCTGCTGTACGCTGGGCCAGCGGTCGACCTGTCGATCGCGGAGGCGCCCGGCCGGCCGCGCTCTGTGCCTTTGGCGAGCCGTAGTGGTGCTAGTGCGTGCGTGATCAGAGAACAGATTGCACTCTACGAACAGTGCTATGCAGGGAAAGGCAAGAGAGGCCGGTCGAGATGCGGAGCAGCCTGGCGTCCATCTCGTCGCCATCGCAGCCGGCCTGGTGCTCGCGGGCAATAGTGGCGTGGTGCTACTACTGTGCCCGGCCTGCGTGCAGCTGCAGTCTTGAGGTTGAGGTCTAGTTATCTAGTATGTGGCCGGAAACACAGCATGATCTAGGCACCACCATAATAGTCCAACGCTCATCGCTCGGGGTGGCGTTGCTGATTTACTGTGGCGTCCTTGGATTAGACACGGACAACCTGTTATGACAGTCAGGGTTTGAAGTCCGGATGGCCATATATTGACATTCGGGATGTTCGCTGGTTGGTTTCTGGGTTGATAAGCTCCGCTAGTACTGGTTTATTGTGAGAGAAAAACACTATTGACTGGACTGATAAGCTCTGGTTCAAACCATCCAGCCATCACTCTGATTGACTGGAAGAAAGGCACCTTCGATCCTCCGTAGCTGGCCTGGCGCTGGCGCTGGCAGGGCAATAGTGTGGTGCTACTACTGCGCCTGGCCTGCATGTTACTGCAGCCTTGAGGTTGAGGTCCAGTGCGTGGCCGGGGCACTGTTGCCTTCAGCTCCAGCATGATCCAGGCACCACCACAATAGTCCAACGCGCATCACTCGGGGCGGCGTTGCTGATTTTCTGTGGCATCCTTGGACCGGACACGGACAACCTGTTATTGCAGTCAAGGTTTGAAAGTTTGGATGGCTATATATTGTCATTGACTCGAAGAAAGGCACCTCCAATTCCCCGCAGTCGGCCGGGCGCCAGTGCTGGCGGGCAATAGTGTTGTGGTGCTACTACTGCACTTGCATGCAGCTGCAGCCTTGAGGTCGAGGTCCAGTGCGTGGCCGGGGCACTGTTGCCTTCAACGCCAGCATGATCCAGGCACCACCAGTACTGAATAGCGTTCGCAGTGGCCACAATAGTGGTAGCGGTCCCTTGCTGCTACCGCTACGACGTAGCGGCTTAGATATAGCGAGTTGAAACTTAGTGTACGCTATGTAACGCAACAAGCCGCTATAGCGGCCATTATTTGACATAACTGTCCGCTATAGCTGTCTAATTTTAATTTAAGATATATTTGATCGAGAATCAACTCTTCAAATACAATTAAATATCTATTTACACTATTTAAGTTATATATTTATTAGTCTATCACTGATTTGTATTTAGTTGATTTTTTTTTTAATTTGTAAAAAGTCATTTTTAAGATACAACCTAAATTATATGAGATTATTAGATATTTTTATTGGAACTTAGCGTCCGTTATAGTTATAGCCCGCTAACTGCAATCCACGGCGTAGACATCAATCAGACCCATTATCCGCTATATATTACGTTGGGCACCACTACAATAGTCCACTACAAATAGTCCAACGCCCATCCCTCGGGGTGGCATTGCTGATTTTACGTGGCGTCCTTGGATCGGACACGGACAGGTCAGAGTTTGAAAGTCCGAGTGGCCACATATTGTCATTGACTCGGAAGAAATGAAAGGAAGTAAAGGCACCCTCCCCCCTGTTGCCGTCCATGTCAAAGGGAGTTGCTTTCGTTTGCGCTCGATTCACGCGGCAAGTTGCACCGGTTCCACCGCGCCACGCCGTATCCCGCACGCGCGAGCGCGGAGATCACTCCGGCGATGACTCCAGCGTCGGTAGCCTGGCATGGGGCGGGACGACTGGACCGCGCGCACCGACCGCGGTGCCGACATGCCGAGCACCGCGCCCATGTCGTCGGCACGCCATCATATCCTGCAGGCGGTGCATGCGCAGGGAAAAACTTCAGGCGACTCGTTCTGCTCCGCGTCTGCAGGCGACTCGAGAGGCTTCCCCGCCGCCCGTTATTGAGCGAGGGAAGTAGGTCAGGGCGTCAGGCCAGGCATTGACATCGGTACAGGCACGCACAATTATCTGTTTTTTTTTTTTTTTTTTTGTAGCGAGCTGTAAAGCCGATTGGTTGGGGCCGGGATCCAATCCACCAGCGATCGAGGAAGACTGTTACGGGTTACAGGGAGGGAGAGGGTACGGTTAGATAAAGAAAGTGGCAGGAGGACTGAGGGGCTGGGAAGAGGGTGACAGCGAGACGGCCTTGCCGCTAGTACTGTACTCGATCACACTGCACCGGCCATCATGTCGTTTTTTTGCAACAACTTGCACCTCTAGCTAATCCGGATCCAGCTCAAGGCGAGGGCCACTGCAGTACTGCAGCAGGGCACAGGCTGGTGGATGAGCACCAAGACAAACGGGTTATGAATGATATGATTCGAGCCCGGGAGCAGGCACGTAGGGCTGGTGCTGGTGCTGGTGCTGGTGCTGGTGCTGCAGAGAGTCCTGCGCCTGCGCATCTC